TTTTTAACTCAGCTTTATAATAGAAATAATAATTGTAATTTGTTTTAACATTTCATCCTGCACTAACATAGCTTGGCACCTCTATGCTGAAGATGGACCACGCCAGTGAAGGCCTGAAGTTTGTGCAGGGTGATGATATGTAGGACACTTGGAACAGAGGCATACGGAACGCTCTTAAAAATTCAGATTCCTCAGGCCTAAGTGCAGGAATAATCAGCATGCAAATGCCTAGGTTCCATTTCCTAATTCAAACAGAATCTCTCACGGGAGGCTGTGTGGTTAGGTAATTTGAAAAAGCGACTACAGGATTCTAAAATGCAGCCTGGACTGAGAATGGTCAGATTATATATATCCACATTTTTAATGAGCACCTAGGAGACTCTTACACTCAAAAAAAGCTTGCAATGACTGGCTTATAGTGAAATTAACAGCCTCTCCACCACCCCAGAGCATTTGGATGCAGAAATGACAAGTAGATAACGAAAGATCACTGGCGCTAGACAGGGCCATCAGCGTGTGCATATTTTGAACACTGCCACAAAACGAGCTTGGCAATCTTAACGCTTTTTTGCATTTCATATATATACACGCCATTCTGCTCTTGCAAGTTTACTCAAAAGGTATTTGCAGATTGCTCTAGAATTTGAGGATCTCGCCTTTAATAATAATGTAGTACTCACATTCTGATATTCTGATTTTATAGTGGATATATTTTTCCAACTCAGTTACGCTCCATCTTCTCCCCCAAACAATATTAATCATGTTATCTCCTCTATTAGTAATTCTTACTGAAGCAAAGTTGAAAGCATCTTATTTACACTTCTTTCCAAAGGAGCACCTCCCTTAAATTAGAATGGGGTTGCAGCTGAGGACAAACTGAAGAGGAAGAGAAAGAGGAGTGCACAAGAAAGTGGGCAAAATGCAACTCTGCTCATTACAATTCCTGGGCTACTTTCAATTTCTATCTCAATGACCACTCCAATCTAGACACCCATCTAGCCCTTACCAGTGCTGAGTACCTAAACTTGCTGAGTACTTAATCCTGATTTGGCATCTTGGTCACCTAAAAGAGTAACAGACACTGAATTATTATTATTTTTTTTTTGTAAAGCCCCAACCCTTCATTTAACTAATTCTGAATATCAGAAACTGTTGAATCCTTCCTAATAACATCTTCAGTATGTTTGTTTTTCCCCTGCCATCCCCGTTGGATTTTGAACACTATTCACCAAATCCAGTCCATGATAGAGTCTGTGTTACAACTAGGAACACACTGTTTTTACAGCTTGAGAAACACTGGAGAAAAACATGAAATAGTAATAAAATAAGCACATAGATTACAACCTACTGTAATGATTTTCTGCTGGTGTCCATCCTCAGCTGGATTTTTGCAGGTCTGGAATTGAGAGACTATTTCCTCCCACATACTAAAACTAGTTCCCTGTCCCTGTCCCTTATTTCTTCTCAATGCAAAGGGCAATTCTCAAGTCTCATTTTGATCCTCACCACACCAACTTCAGCAATAAAGATCCGATTGGATGATCTGCATGGAGTTCTCCAAGTGCTCTAAGAGTTTGAGTCTTCCAATGCCCTTGAATATGCTGCCTTGTATCTAGAAGCCTCCAACTCACCCATTTTCCACAGAACTATTGAACCCTTATGCTTCCAAATGCAGCTTTAACACCATCTCTACTATGCAACCTCTCTTGAGTTCCCTCCTCCCCAGGAACAGATTCATCTGGGCAACCACTAGACTTGTGCATATTCTGACCACTAAGTATTTCTTACTAAAGTTGTATTAATCTTAGCTTCAGAGAGTCTCTGTTACCAGCTGAAAGATTCTCCAGGGCAAGTGAAGGTTTTCTACACACTCTCTCCTAGAAGTTTACCTTAAACCTAAGGTGTTCAGTAATGAACTCCAGAACATTTTTTCCCCCAACCACCTGCAACCTTCTCCAACAATCAACCCATCCTTCTAGGTTCTTAAGCCAAAGAAAATAGGAATCAACAACAACAACAAAAACAACTTTCCCTCACATTCTGTGTGGTTCATCAGCAAATCCTGTCACTCTACCTTCAAATTGTATCCAAAGTGTGACCATCTCCCCACCTATACCCACCACACCTTCACCTCCACTGATATCCACTATACCTTCACCTCTACCACTATGCCATGTTTTTACCACTACCAATACCCAACATACCTTCAACTCGACCACTACATCTTTACCTCTATCAATACCCACTACACCTTCACCATTCCCAATACCCAACATACTTTCAAGTCTATCAACACTCCATTCCAACTTTACTTCCACCAATATGTACCACAACTTCACCTCTACTACTACCTCCCCATCCAGCCCAACATCATTGCTTGATCAGTTACTCCAATAACCCCCAACTGGTGTCTCTCTTTGCTTCTGCATACTCTATAGTATGTTTTTCTGTAAATCAACAAAGTCAATCCTTTTATGAATACAAATCACATCAATTCTTTGCTCAAAATCCTCCAATGACTCCATTTCACTAAGAGTAAAATCCTGATTCTAGAACACTACTTTGATGCTTCCTGTTCTACTTCCATTCCACTTACCACTGTGGCCGGCCTCAGGGACCTCCCCACCATTCCCCAGACATCAGAAGGACACTCTCACCCACAGCCTTTGCACTCACCATTCGTACCTGGAATGTGCTTCTCCCCTGGATCATTCCCCCACCTTGTTTGCATCTTTGTTCTAATTTGCCTTCTCAGGAGGCCTTCCCCATCTGCACCTCTTACTCTCTATGCTCCATTTTATGTTCTGTTTTCTCTTTAAAATTTATCACTAACTAAATTATCTGTCTCATCCAACTGGAGGCTCTAAGCCTCAGGAGGTGTGGTGGGTATTGATGGAGGGTTTTTATCTATTTCATTTACTGTCATATATGCTTTGTCTAATAAAACAGTATGTGGCACAGGGTAGGTACTCAGTGACTATTTATTGTATGCATAAACTCAGCTTTGGGTTTTCAAGTCCTTGAACACTTGAGTGTCAGGCACTTGAGGCATTCTCTACATTGTATCTGCTGAATTATGACACCAATCTGTTCAATTCTTAAAAAGCTATTTCAGTTCTAGGTAAAACAGTACTACCAATAACATGTGCATCAGTGTTCTTAGGATCATTTTTCTTAAGGATGGTTCACACCAGTGAAAACAGCTTGGACACTGATGTTAGTCAGATAGTCATAGCTGGAATCCTAGCTATACTGCCTGTTAATTGTGCATGCTTGGGCAATGTGACCTCACAGATCACATGTTTTTCGTCTTTAACATGTACCTTAAAAGGTCATTGTAATTGTAATGACCAGAAGTAATACACACACATGTGTATATGTATGTGTATATATAAATATGTGTGTGTATATATATATATATGTGTATGTGTGTATACATATATGTATATATGTATATATACACATACACACAGTACTTGTCTGAACACCAAAGAGAACACATAGAAGCACAAAGCAACCAAAGGATATTTAAACTTGAATTCTACATCCAAGAAGCAAGATATGACCTGCCTCACTGATGTTTGGTTAAACAATTTGGGATGAGTCTTGCCTTTTTCAAGGAGGATTAATGATAGAAGTCAAAAGGCTCTTATGAGAGACATTAATAAAGCCATTAATCACTTTTGCCAGTTGGTGTCAGTTGCTGACCTCCTACAAACTGATGGCACCTGACAATGTTCAAAGTTTACCCTTTCTAGCCATGCAGCTTCAAACCATTAAAACTCTGTAAAGATCAATTGATAGAAGTATCAATTGGAAAATGCCCCCAAAACAACAACAACAACAACAAAAATATAGCTCTTACAATTGTTGAGAAGGAAGTAAAATCATGCACAATGGCACTGCATTTGACAGAGCAGAACACTCACAGGAGGCACTTAGTAAATGGGCCGTCATCATTTTTAAGCCTATAGAGCAATTCCTCCTGTTCCCAACTCCTGGCTGGCATTTCTGGGATTTTATTTAGTTTGGTTGGTGTTGTGTTTTTGTTGGTTTGTCTTTTTTGTTCTGCTTCTTGCGGGGCTGGAGATGGAACCCAGGGCCCAGCACACACTAGGTGAGAGCTCTACCATGGTGCTGCATCCCCAGCCCTTGATGCAGTGAGAAGAAAGTGAACACTCCTTCAACCCCCAGCACGGGGTGGGGTGGGGATCATGTTAAAATTGATGGTGAGTTGGGCCAAGTTCCTTAAAACTTATGAAACATCACCTGCCCCTAGCTTTCCAGGCCTTAAGGATCACTAGTGCTCATATAATCATAATTATTAAACCAAATTTAGAGTCGAGTTGAACTCTCTCCATACCACTGTCAGAAGAAACAACAGCAGCTTCTACAACTTTTATGCATTTACCATTTCCAGCAACATGCTTATGTGAACACTGCTGAAAATCAGGGCTTAGGAGAAAATTACCTCACACCAGGACTGTCTCAGGAGGAAGATAAGGGAAAAGAGTTCAGACAAAGGTTACATGGGACAAAGATGCCCTGGGTTAGCCAGGAAGACAATGAAAATAGATTTTCTAGGGACTGGAAAACTATGAAAATCACAATTACCAGAGATTAGTTCTTATCTGATACTATAAATATTTTGTCTTCTTCATTTAGCTTCTAAAAGACACGATAAAGCATATGCTTTCTCCCAGGTGACGGGAGAAAGTGGGAATAATTTACTGAGCATTTTTATATTACTAGTGTCCAAACCCCACTGAAAATACAGCTCCGACTGAAATATCCTTTGTTCTAGGCTTGTTCAGAGTGTTCCTCTTCTTTCTCCCCTATTCTCTGAATGTATTCTCTCATTCCTCACCATCATGTATCTACTTCTTATATATAACAGAATCTAGTAGGAATCACACCTTTTTGGTGTCTCCATTACGCAAATCCGATAACAACCCCCAGACCAGTTAGGCAAAGAGTATTAACGTGACAAGCCAGCATACCGGGCTTAACCGCGAGCACAAAGATGATCCCCAGGGATTTCTCTCAATGCCATCTGCCTGGAGGTGCTGAGCAGCTTCTCAAGGGATGTTATAAGACCAGCTTAGCAGAGGATGGCTTCAGAGTCTAGTTAGGAAAACACCCTGAAAGGTAAGAAAAGGCAAGGATTCTGGGACTGGGGGTGGGGGAGTAGCTCAGTGTTAAAGGACGAGTTTAGCATGTGTGAGGCCATGGATTCTATCCCCAGCATTACAACAAACATAAACATGCCAGTTTTCATAATCAGACCTTGGTAAAGTGTTAAGAACTTCCTCATGAAATCAAACTGGTTTTTGCCTTTTTTTTTTTTTTTTTTTTTGGAGAGGATGTTTTAACAGAAATAAATTCCTTTTAGGATTTCCAAAATAAATAAATAAACTGAAGAACACTTAAAGAGGCCACTAGCCCAGTGGCAAAAGAGGGCTGAGGTCCTCAGCTGCCCCAAACCAGCAGCTCCACCACCTCCAAGGTGAATATTTCTTCCCTTGCGTTGAAGGATTTATGTCTTAAATGGTCACTACCTCTGCTGGTGACACATGAAGGGGGATGAGTTCAGCAGAGGTGTTGCAGCAGCCAACGGACAGCAAAGTTCTAAGGAAATGGAGTTGAATGTAGTAGGAACAAAGAAATGGTTGGAAATTTAAATGGAATTGAAGACATTAATCTTCCTATTTCCCGGTTTGGTGCTTTAGAATCACACTAATCTAAAGGGAATCAATGGAGATCAGAAAGGTAAGGAAGTCTACTGACCCCCAACTGCATATTCTCAAAGCAGAGGTGTTGCCCCCACCAAGCAGAGTGGCATCAGAGTGAAACTGCTCTACAAAGCACTTCAAGTAAATTTCTCCTAAAAGGGTTTAGGTTGTTTTTATTATTTTTCTGCTTTGTTTGGGTAAAATATTTACTTTAATCGTGCTCAACTTATAGCCATTCACTTATTCAATTATTCAATAATATGGACAGTCAGTCTTCCATAGTCACAGGTTCTGTATCTGCACAGTCGACCTACCATAAATCAAAAATATTTAGGGAAAAAATGAGCTTTTTTTGGTCATATTCTCTATACAACTCAAGTTCAACAACAGTTTAGATTGTATTAGATAGTACAGTAATCTGGAGACGATTTAAAATATACAGGAGGATGTGCACAGGTTATACAGAAATACTATGCTACTTAGGCCTTGAGCATCTGTGGATTTCCATATCCTTCCAGGGTCCCAGAACTGGTCCCAGAACCCAGTCCCCTGTGGATGCTGAAGAATGACTATATGTTATGAGCTTGGTCCTGAGGATATGAGACTTGTATATCTCATTTGCAACGTGGCCTACTTTTAATTTTTATCATTGAACATGTTATAGAGTACAATCATTAAAATAGCTAAATATGTGCAAACAAGTGACTTATAGCTAATCACCAACCTACAGCCAGGCCAGAAGGCACCTGTACCACTAGAACACATAACACTCGTGCCCTATGATAGATGTTCATTTTAATATGTAAATCAAGAAAGCTGGTATTGCAATATTGGTTTTAACAGATAAGGGCTGACAAAGGAGTCGTTTTCACTGCAAGAAAGACATTAATGTCATATGAGTTCATACTTACTGCTTAATTTCATTATAAAACTAGCATTGAGGACCCAGGGAACATCTGCATCTAGACAATCTCTGGTCTATCAAAAGGCATGATTTGACATAGTATGCTTAGCAATGGGAGTCTGCATGAGAAAAGGGCCCAGAGGACCCAACTTTCTTCTTCGAGGATCCAGGTGAAGCATCATCCCTTATACAAAACCAAGCCCAGTTCCCAGGCAGTTGGGGAGCCCCTCTCCAGTGCTCAGAAACAGTAACTACATTCTTAAGGGTGCAGCTGTAGCCTGGTGTTGTCAGGCACCGATGTACATGCCTGTAATCCCAGCAGCTCTGGAGGCTGATGGAGGAGGATCACAAGTTCAAAGCCAGCCTCAGGAAAAGCAAGGCACTAAGCAACTCAATGAGACCCTGTCTCGAAATTAATTTAAAAAAAAATACAAAAGAGGGCTAGGGATGTGGGTCAGTCACAGTGCCCCTGAGTTCAGTCCCCAGTACTCCCTGGCAAAAAAAAAAAAAAAAAAAAAGTGCAGCTATATTGTCCAGTCACTGCCTAGTGCCAGCCTGACTCTCTGGGCTCTTTCTCAGCAGGAAAGTTTTTAGCTTTCTCTTCCAGTGCTCAAAACTAGTTCATATTTTTCTCTATGAATGTATGGTGAATAAATTAATCTAGTACTTTTTCAAAAGAATATTTCATTACTTTCAATTTTTTTATCTGACAAAAATTATTAAATGTATAATGTTTTTATCTTAAATGCTAGCTCATTTGCCTACTATTTAAAAGAATAAATGAGGAATTAAAATTCACTGTAGACATCAATCTGCTTTAAAAAAAAAAAAAAAGAACATTTGAAGTCATTCTACTTGTGTGCTATTCTTTTACTAAAGTCAGGGGAAATGATTTGGCTCCACAACCAATGGGTATTCCAGAAGCCCGGGGATATGTGTCACATGGTAAAAGCAAAAGGAGAGAGAAATCTGTTTGACCCAAGAACTTATTCCCCATTAACCACAGGCAGACAATAGACTATCATCCCTGGGCCTCTTGCTTCTTCCTGTCTGCACGGCACCTTTTGATAAGCCTGATTCCAGCATTAGGACTTCATCCCAAGGGAAGGAGGAAAAAACAGAAAGCATGCAGAATTCAAATGAATTCATTCAACTTTTCTCCAATATCTCCTTGGAAAGACTGAATCAAAGAAGCAAGCAGAGATGGCTGAATGTATTGAGTCTAACTCATCCTTTCTTTTAACAGCTATGGTATGTGCACCCAACTTTTATTTGCAAAGAATCAAAGGACGAGAACTTGGATTCACTGTTCTTCGAAGGGAAGGAATTTGGCTTTGGGCCAGATTTTTCATAATGAGACTAACAAAATCAAGATGACGATGATCAAATATTAGATCCAAATTTCACAACTCTGAACTGATGTCAGAGTTTCTTTTTCTCCATTTATCATATAAAACGTTAAGAGTAATTTTCAAAGAGATGACTCCTACTGCTTACTTTACAAGGACCATTAACATCCCAACTTTCCATATGTGCACTGAATACCCCTGGCCAGAAATGTTTCATAGAATCACCTTACTAGACCTTAAGAACGCAGGAAAATCAATCTGTGCCCAGGTAGTTGCAAAAGGTTTCCCAAATAAAATGATATTTGAGAACAGCTATGTTGAGAATAGCTAGTTCATAAGACAAGGAAATCAGGTGGAGTTAGATTTTCTTTCTGGTAAAATTCAATACTGCAGGAAAACAGGTATAGATTTTTAAGAGGAATGAGAGGGCAGTCAGACCAACTCATACTGCTTGGTTGGTTATTGTGTGTTCCCTGAGCATACAGTTCGCAGGACCCTGTTTATGCTAGGGAACCAATGATGAGCAAAGAGACATAGATGTACACTCCCACCCTCAAAGACCTCATAACTTAGAGAAAAGCACACCCAAGCCAAATGCTCTAATCAGAGCTGGGAAATGCCATGAGATGGGGAAATCATGGCTGGTACAAATCACAGAGAAGGACCACTTACCCTCTAATGGGGAAAGGGGAGTTCCTTTCAAAACAAAAGTGAAATCTGATACCCAAAAAACGATGGACCAGTAAAGAGAGTGCCTTGGCTTAGATGGGAACACAACAGACAGGAAGCTAAAGAGGTGATCAGGAATCCAATCACAAAGAGCCCTTCCATGTGAATTAAGAGCAACAGAGAGGGAGTGCAGGGTTCTAAACTGTGGAACAGTGAGGTTGGATTTGGATTGGGGTTTTAGACACATCACACTGGCTAGAGAGTAAATGGGTTAGAGGACAGATCTGGAGTCTAAAAGCAGAGAGGAAGACCAGTGAGGAACATGTTACAGTGATCCAGGAGAAAGAAGATCAGAGCCTGAATAATTATAATAACTGCAGAAATGAAGAAGGGATTTGGGAGGAAGGGAGACTGGGGAATTTGGAGTCCCTCATTACCTCCATTAGTTCCAGCTCCCAACATATGCCACTCCTAGACCATTATTACCAACTCCAAAGTTAAAAATGGCTGGCTATGCAAATGCAGGGGTAAGATAAATCCTTAGTTCTCCACTTCCAAATAGTTCACCTGGCTAAGCTCCACCCATATGTTAGGCCACTGCTAAGAATCACTAGTAAAGAGATTTACAAAAATATAATACGCAGAATTTGTCAGATGAGGGAAACAGCCAGGCACTTGGATGGGGTGCTCCAACCCCTTGGTTGGAGAATGCAGCTGTCTGTCGTCAACAGTATTGTTCCTAAGTATTTCTGGTTCTCCTCTCTCCAGGCACATAGTAGGACCACACTTCCTCGTCAGCCGGGATCCCTCAGTTATTAACAGGAGTCAAGACCCTCTTGTAAATTACAAAGCATATTCAGCTCAAACTAAATGTCAGTCTTTGCTCTTTTAAGCCTCAGAGATGAAAGGGTTGATATGGCAGATAACCTGGCCTTCCCTAAGTGAGCTGGAGATGTCACATGTCTAGCTAAGAGGAGAACTGAAATACAGTTAATGTCTGTGCTGAATCTGGAGCATCCAGAAACAGGAGAGAATACAATGGCAAGATTCAAGAGGAGGTAGCAGCCCAGAAAATGGAAGGATTTTTCTCTCTCATTTAAATATTTATGGAGCATCTTCTCTGTGACTCGGTCAGCGATTGCTCACACTGCTCATTGGTCTCCATCTGTTTTAGAGAGTCAAAGGGTAAGAGCCCAGACTCTGAAGCCAGACTGCTTGGGTTTACCGGCTCCACAATTAATTAGCTGTGTAACTTTGAGTAAGTCATTTAACCTCTCTGAGTTCTGGGTAAGTGGGAATAACAATCATATCCACAAAAGGGATAATAATCATTTCCTTCTCATTTGCTTAGGAGGATTTATTGAGCGAATTCATGTTATTTATACAGTGTCTGGCACATATTAAGTACTCAGGTATTAGCCATTATTTATTATTTATATTTCACCTTGCTAAACCCAGTACATATAGAAT